CTGTTCCTGGGGCTTGAACTCAGGGCCTGATCACTATCCCTGAGCTTTTGTGCTCAAGACTAATGCTGTATCATTTGAGCCACAACTCCACTTCAGGAATTTTTTTGCTTGTTTTTGTAACTAATTGGAGATGAGTCTCATACACTTTCCTGCCTGGTTTGACTTTGAACCACAATCTTCAAATCTTAGTCTCCCTGCATAGCTAGGATTCCAGGTGTGAGCCACTGATGTTTGGCCTGCTGTTGACATTCCTTTTATTTTTTTAAAAAAATTTTATTGTCAGGGTGATATACTGAGGTGTTACAGTTACAAGGTAGTAATTACATTTCTTGTCTAACTTGTTACCCCCTTCTTCATTTTTCTCTCTGCCCCAATCCCACCCACACCCCAAAGTTGTACAGATCATTTCCAACATACTATCTTGTGAGTATCGCTGTTGCATAGGTTCCCACTTTGTCCTCTGTCTTACCATTTTGTTCCTCTTCCCTAGTTCAGATAAACATATATACAATACCCATGCTACCAAAATCGAGTATGGTGACAACAGGAGACAAACCATAGGTGGAAAAAAACAAAAACACAAAAGAAAAAAGAAATCACATAGTACATTGAGAAGAACAAGAACAACAGAGAAAAACCTCTTGTGTCCATGTCTTGGAGTTCATTTCTAGCATCATCTTATACGGTCATATGTACATAGCTATTGAGCTGTTCTGCTCTAAGATTATACTACGTGTATACTAATTAAGACTACACATAGAGCTCCCCTATGACCCAGTAATCCCACTCTGAGCATTTAGCCAAATGACCACAAACAAGACCACACTGCAGCTAACAGTTCAACTATGTTTATCTCAGCATCATTATTTACCATAGCTAAGATATGCCCCTCAGTAGATGAATGGATCAAGAAAATGTGTGTATATACATACATATATATGTATATAAATATATAAATATACATATATATGTATATACATGTGTGTATATACATATGTGTATATATATATATATATGTATATACACACACACAATGGAATTCTGTGCTTCCATCAGAAAGCATGACACTACCCCATTTGTAAGGAAATGGAAGGACTTGGAAAAAATCTTGTTAAGTGAAGTAAGCCAGACCTAAAGAAACACAGATCCCCTGTTTTCCCTTATTTCTAATAATTAACTTTTGACTTGCCCTTTTCCCTCACTGCAGCTTCAACTTGTAAAAGTTCCTTCAATTACTCCAGGTCATCCTGACATTGTCCTAATTCAAGCCATTTTTAAATTTTCTCCATGGCTAAAATTCTTCACTGGTTTCCCATTGCTCCTGGAGTTGTTTATATTTCTTAAAAAAAAAAAAAAGTGGGCTGGGAAGGTGGCTCAGTGGTAGAGCGCTTGCCTTGCATGCATGAGGCCCTGGGTTCGATTCTTTAGTGCCACATAAGCAAAAAAAGCTGGAAGTGGCGCTGTGGCTCAAGTGGTAGAGGGCTAACCTTGAGCTGAAGAGCTGAGGGACAGTGCCCAGGCCCAGAGTTCAGGCCCACAACCGACAAAAAAAAGCCCAAAAAACAACAACAACAAAAAGTCTGGGCTGGACACCCGGTGGCTCATGCCTTTAATCCTAGCTACTCTGGAGGCTGAGATCTGAGGATCGTGGTTCAAAGCCACCCCAGGCAAGAAAGTCCATGAGACTCTGATCTCCAGTAAATCACTCCGAAAACTGGAAGTGGAAGTGGCGAAAACTGGAAGTGGAAGTGGCGCAGTGGCTCAAGTGGTAGAGTCTAGCCTTGGGCTAAAGAGCTGAGGGACAGAGTCCAGCCCCGGAGTTCAAGCCCCATGACTGACTAAATGGACTGACTAAATCTAAGAAGGCTTATCACAGTTCCTCTTACCCTTATCCCCCTCACTCAAGGATTAATCCAGCCCTAAACAGGTATTTAAAGTGTTTAATCCTCTTCTTCGAGCCTCAAGCCTATAAACAAGCTGTTCAGCGCACCAGGAAGATTCTCCCCTTTGGCTAAATTCTATTTTCAGGTCTCAAATTTCACCCAGTTATGACTTTGCCTGTATTCTGTGCTTTCCCCTCATCATCCCTTCCACTAATATTTACTGTGCCATACACAGTACATGAAGTGTCGAATAATCTCATTTACTTTATAGTCCACTAGAATACTTTGCTATATATTATACAAAAGTGTAAAATACTTGATGAATTAAGGAGCTCCTAAAATAGTATAAAAGTGTTCACACACACACACAAACAACTATATCTTTGGTTGGGGTTCTTCAAGTCGGCTGGTTCTGGGATCACCACCAAGTTCAAGAAATATTTTTAAATGTGGTTGACTGATTAAGTTGCACTGATTTTCTAAACCAGTGTTTCTAAGTTGCTACAGAATGTATTTCAACTACATTTTATTTGAATGTAGCAGAATGTATTTCAAATATAGAATGTATTTACTTCAAATATAGAATGTATTTACTTTTAGTACATCCATAATACAAACAAATCAACACAGCTTACTATTGTAGCTTTATAGTAAGTTTATGGGCAGCTTTGAATTAACATTTGAAATACTCATATTAGTGGGGTTAAGTGTTGTACTTTTTTTTATTTTGAGGCCAGCCTTGGGGCTTGAATTCAGGGCCTGGGCACTGTGTCTGAGCTTTTGTGCCTAAGGTTAGAGCTCTATCACTAGGGCTACAGTTCTGGCTTTTTGGTGGTTAATTGGACTTTTCTTCCCTGGCTGTCTTTGAACCACAATCCTCAGATCTCAGCTTCCTGAGTACCTAGGATTATAGGCATGAGCCAACAGCACTCAGCTGTTACACATAATTTTTATAGTTTAGATGTCTGTTCAACCAAAAATAGTATCTATATCAATTTTAAATAGCTAATGGAGTTACTTACTATTATACAGTACAAATTATTGAATTCTTCAGTGAGGGAAGTATAAAACTGTTCATTCTAATTCCTGAAGTGTTTACCAATTTGATTTCCTTCCCTCCCTCCCTCTCCCCCCCCCTTTCTTTCTTTCGTCTGCCCCTTAGCTTTTTCACTCTTGGCTAGCACTCTACCACTTGAGTCACATCTCTACTTCTGACTTTTTACTAGTTAGTTGGAGATAAGTCTCACATACTTTTCTGCCAGGTCTGGCTTTGAACTGTGATCCTCAGATCTTAGCCTCCTGAGTAGGTAAGATTATAGGCTTGAGCCACTGGTTCAAGTTTGATTTCTGATAAACTAATGAACTAATACAAAAGCAGCTGATTACTTATCTTGTACCTTTTTAAAAAAAATAGGTCCTGTGTATGCTTTAAAAAATAATGTACCAGATAATGGACATTTAAGTCATAATCAGTAAAGTGCTAAATGCACATCTAGATAATGACTTTCACAATAAGCATTAAAATGTATTTGCTTCTCCTGAGGGTGAAATTAAACATAAAATTCCTTAACTATAACATGAAGGATTTAAACATCTTGAGATTTTCTAGCTTGAAATGGCAAGTATTTCTTTTTTTTTTTTTTGTCAGATGTGTGGCTTGAACTCTGGGCCTGGTCATTGTCCCTGTGCTCTTCAGCTCAAGGCGAGCACTCTACCACTTGAGCCACAGTGCCACTTCTGGTTTTCTGGTGTTTTATTGGAGATAAGAGTCTTATGGACTTTCCTGCTGGAGCTGGCTTTGAAACATGATCCTCAAATCTCAGCCTCCTGAGTAGCTAGGATTAAGGGGTGAGCCACTAGTGCCCGGCTCACATATCATTTCTTTATCAGGAAGTCTGCTCAAATAACAGAAGTTCAAGAAGATGGTGGCTGCAATGACAAGGATAAGAACAGTGAATGAGACATAAACACCATTTTTAGAAGGCCAATGCAAATGGAGAAATAATAAGTGAATTCAGAGATGAGAAAGTTAAATACTGAATAAGGTTATATTGGAGTCAAATCCACTTGATATTGAACCTGTGAGGTGAGCCAGGTGCCAGTGGCTCATACCTGTAATCCTAGCTATTAAGGAGGCTGAGATCTGAGGATCACAGTTCAAAGTCACATCTGGCAGAAAGTATGTGAGTCTCTCATCTCCAATAAACTACTCAAAAAAGCCAGAAGTGGCACTGAGGCTCAAGTGGTAAAATGTTAGCCTTGAGCTAGGAACAGTGCCTATGCCCAGAGGTCAAGACCCAGGACCAGAAAAAAAAAGTACACACACACACACACACATATAGCCTGTGAAGTAATATTTTTCTTAACAGGACATTCCAGGAAAGTATGAGGCTAGAGTCATGAGACTTAAAAGTCTGAGCTCAATGTGGTTGGATGTTCAGGATCCCTATCCTATCCTATGAAGCTGTATAACTTCCCTGTCTCCAGAAGATATTTTCTGAACTTGTGTGGAGATATAACAAGGAAATTCCCTCTCCCACTTCAATAACTGATACAAGCCAAGATTGGAGAGATATAAATCAAGATATAAGTCATTATTCCAACATGCAGAACATTCTTTCAAATACTGACATTTAAGGATTCTCCAGAGACAAGGCCCGGTCACCATTTGCTGCCTTGAAGACTAACTGCTGTTGGTTGACAGACTACACAGAAACTGCTTTTTAATGTCTCCTTTTAAATATCAATCAACCAAGGGCAGGTGGGGGAGGAGGGGCTTTCTAAATGAAAGATAATCATTTCCAAATACCTTCTGTACTTCAGATTTGTTTTACTTCCAAAGTAAAGTAGGTCATGTGCAGAGCTCAGATGCTCCCATCCCCAAGCAGAACAGAATTACAATTGATTAAAACTATTCCTTTAGCCAGGTGGCTCACATCTGTAATCCTAGCTACACAGGAAGCTGAGAGCTGAAGACAGGTTCAAAACCAGCCCAGCCAGGAAAATCTGTGAGATGTTAATCTCTAATTAATCAGCAAAAGGCCAGAAGTGGGGATGTATCGCAAGTAGTAGAGTGCCAGCTTTGACCTAAAAAGAACAGCTATGGGACTGGGAAGGTGGCTCAGTGGCAGAGTGCTTGCCTTGCACGCATGAGATTCTAAGTTCAATTCCTCAGCACCACATAAGCAGAAAAAGCCAGAAGTAGCGCTGTGGCTCAAGTGTTAGGGCACTAGTCTTGAGCTGAAGAGCTGAGGGACTGGGCTCAGGCCCAGAGTTCAGGCCCCGTGACTGACCAAAAAAGAAGAGAAAAGCTAGGGGAATACTGTCCTGACCAGGAGTTCAAGCACCAGTACCAGGGGGAAAAAAGGTGTTATGTGTGTCATCCATGGAAGGAAGCAAGCCAGACAAGCAGTAGGCCCTGAGTTCAAACCCTGGTACCAGGAAAAAGAAATAAAAAGCTAGGTACTGGTGACTCACTCGATCCTAGTTTCTCAGGAGTCTGAGATTTGAGGATTGTGGTTCGAAGCCACCCTGGGCAGGATGTCCATAAGACTATCTTCAGTTAACTACCAAAAAGCTGGAAATGGAGGTGTGGCTCAGGTGGTAGAGCACTAGCCTTGAGGGAAAAAGCCCAGGGACCAAGTTCAAGCCCCCAGGACCAGCGTATGGCGCCACACACACACACACACACACACACATACGAGCACACTCCTTCATCCTGCTTCCGGTGGAGGGGACGGCGGATAGCTGGTGGATCCAGGCTTGGCGCTCGTGGGCTCCTCGAGGCCGCCCGCGCTACCGAGCTTGGAGTTAAGCGGCCTCCGCCAGGGCCTGAGGCCGGCAGCAGGTGGCTGACAGCTGGGCCAGCGGTCGGGGCCTGTGTCGCCTCCACTAACACCGGAGGGCGAGAGGACCAACATGAAGTCCAGCCCCACTATCCAGGCTGCCATAGATCTCACCGCGGGGGCCGTGGGGGGCACCGCGTGTGTGCTGACCGGACAGCCCTTCGACACAATGAAAGTGAAGATGCAGGCCTTCCCCACCCTGTACAAGGGCCTCACCGACTGCTTCCTGAAGACCTACCACCAAGTGGGCTTCCGAGGCTTTTACCGGGGGACCAGCCCCGCCCTGCTGGCTTATGTTGCCCAGAGCTCTGTGCTCTTCATGTGCTACGGCTTCTGCCAAGAGTTCGTCAGGAAAGTGGCTGGACTGAGCAAGGGGCAACAGCTGAATGATCTGCAGAATGCGGCCTCCGGGTCCTTGGCCTCCGCCTTTGCCGCGCTAGTACTCTGCCCCACTGAGCTGGTGAAGTGCCGTCTGCAGACCACGTATGAAATGGAGATGGCAAGGAAGATAGCACCAAGTTCCAAGTCGATCTGGTCTATTGTAAAGAATATCTTTATGAAGGAGGGCTTCTTGGGGTTCTACCACGGACTCTCGAGCACTCTAACTCAAGAAATACCTGGTCATTTCTTCTACTTTGGTGGTTATGAATTGAGCAGGTCGTTTTTTGCATCAGGGGGATCAAAGGACGAACTAGGCCCAGTCCCTTTGATGATAAGTGGTGGAATGGCTGGAGCCTGCCTCTGGCTGGTCATATTCCCATTGGATTGTATTAAATCTAGAATTCAAGTTCTTTCTGCATCTGGAAAGCAGGCAGGGTTAGTGAGAACCTTTTTAACTATTGTGAGAGATGAAGGAATATTAATCTTATATTCTGGACTGAAGGCAACCATGGTTCGAGCGATTCCTTCCAATGCTGCACTATTTGTGGCTTATGAATACAGCAGGAAGTTGATGATGAGCCAGCTGGAAGCAGACTGAAATATCTTGGTGTATCTGCCTCTTAGTATATGAACTTGAGGACTACAGCTGAGGCTCAGTGACTATAAGACCAACATGAAATTGTTTTTAATGGCACAGGAATTTTCGTTTTATCTTGCTGCCTTCTACTTTAAATCTCCAACTTTATAAACCTGTATTTATATCGCATAATTCCTGTCCATAATCACATGGAAATAGAAAATTTGCTGTTCTTCATGTTGGTAAGATATGGAGAGTAAGCCTGTTTGCTGTGTAGCTCATCTGACAGACTGAGTGCAATTCTGTCAAGATTTTGGTGTAAATTTATATGTGTACATGCTATTTAGATATATGTTGTGAGACAATCATTATTTGGCTCCCTTATTCTTATATATTACCCAGAATACCAAGAGTTCATCAGGTTTCATGCGGATAGGTATAAATGATTGCTTAACTCATTCAAGATGTCAAATCTATTATTAAACCGACTTAATGTATGCATCACTTTGGGATGTTTAATGATTTTAAAAACATCTTTATGTAGTGCTTGTAAACTAAAATATTCATGTAGATTCTTAAAGAGAAAAATGTACTTGCATACTGGTGAGGCTGCCACATTGTTGAGTAAACTTTTAGTGTTGGCATCCTGGATTTTCTACTCTACTCTTAAAATAGTACCATTCATTTTTCAAAGGAGGATTATGCTCTGCATTGTGATGATACTGTTAAGTGTGGCTTTGTATATTAGACCTTGGAGAAGCAGCACAGCTATCCTGCACCAGCTTGCCTTCTTCTCTTCTCCGAAACAGCCAGTTTTAGACCAAGGAAGGCAAGTGGCTGTATTGCTACACGTGTAGAAGATCCATGTGTATAAAAGCAGTTCTTAGCTTCTCATCTGTGGGTCCTGGCCGGGGTAAGATTGCAGTGTTCTGTTGGCCCACTTAGGGATCGTTGGTTCATTTTGGTTCACTCGCTATTCTCTATGCAGCAGAGATGAGATACTTTTCCAGGGAATAGAGAGTGCCAAGGTCAAGAGAAAAGCTTTTATTTTGTGTAGTGATAGAGGGACAGAAGTCCTGAGTGAAGTCATTCTCCCTCAGGCAGAACTGAAAAGAACTTAGTGCTTTCATTCCTCAGTGGGTAATGTCAAGGCTGACCTATTCTTGAATTTTACCTTAATGTCCATAACTCCTTGTCTTGCTTTCAGTGTTAGCACCTTCTAAATTTGGCACAAGGGGGTCAGTCCATACAGTGTGATAATATAATACAATGAAACACAGAAAGGCAGTTTTATTAAGCTGTACCTTATGTACCTTATGTACTGATACCCTCACCCTCACACCAAACCCCCAATCCCCTCACACACCAAAACAACATAAACTGATGCCCATAATTGAACTTGTTAGCAGCTAAGAGGGTCATTCTACAATGATAAAACAAGCTTTATAATTTTGTATTGCTCCAAAAACAACAAGGTCTCAAGTTCTTAAGTGCACACACATATACATACACAGAGCTAGAAAGAAGTCTTACTAATCTGTACAATTTGAGTCTATTGCTGTCAGCAGAATTCAAATTCTGTGTAAAACATCCAGTTCCCTTTAAAAAATATACCAAGTCTTTATGGTAACTCTAGTCATAAATCCAGAAGTAAATTAGATGTTAGCAAATCAGAGCTGTTGAGGATATTGTATGTGTTGAATGAGTACACACATACGCACACACATACATGCATGCACTGACATGCTCAGTATGCTTGGGATCTATAGCTGTTCTATTAATTTGCTTTTACTTGAAAATCATTTTCCTACTTTAAAGTTATTTACATATTTAAGCTACATATTCTTTACTGAAATGGTAGCTATTACATGGTGCATCTGACTAGGCCTGGATGAAAGAAAAGTTGAAAATGAGACTCACTTTAAGCAGGAAGTAGATGATTTCACTGTTAGCATCCATGAGCTGCAAGTCTATTAGCTCTGTTGTCAGAAGACTTTCTTCTCACATGTCATCCATTAAAAGTTTAACTAGATACCTTTAATAGAAACAATATAAGGCAAGAGTAGGTGGGAGTGAGGAATGGAAGTAGATTCTTTTCCATTCTATTTGCTTAACCCTTGGTTTAATATTTGCAAATACTTTATATCATTTTTGGTATGTACTCTAACAAAAATATAGTAGTTTTAAAGAAATTTGAGTGTCCTATCATTAATTTAATTGTTAAATTTATAATCATCTTATTTATCCAGTTAAATAAAATACTTCACTCAAATCATTAACAATATACTATATTGAGCTTTGGATATTCAGACAATAATGATATCTGGTTTCTGATATCAAGTATTCAATGGTCTTGATATTCTATAATTAGGAATGTCATATTCGATAATAAAATTTAGTAGAAGTAAACTAGTATCCAGTTTTTTTGTGTATATGTGTTTAAAATAAGTGATTCTCTGAACCTCAAGAACCCTCACCTTTCCTTGTATGTATATTTTATACTGTGTTTTTATTTATTCATTTATTTTTAGTATTCTTTAAAAAATAATTTCATGAGATTTGTTTCTAATATTGATATTGGACAGTTTTTCTTATTTTAAATTCTATACAATTCCTACATGGCATAAATTACCCTTGATTTTTGGGAAATATTTAGAGTTATATATTGCATCCCTTTGTCTACTGTTAGGACCAGAAGCTTTGCATCTTGAAATACAATAGTGATGTTGCATCTGGAAGTTTATTTTGACCTAGCTTTCACTGGATAACAAGGTGTAGTAAAATATATTGATATCTCAGATGATCATATCTGGCAACAAGTACAAAACTTGCTCATGTTCTTTGAGATCTTGGTGTTGAATTTGGAAGAAAAGTTGATTCTTTTGGCCCTGACCACTAGAGAGGTGATAATTCTAGGAAGATGTTTATACATAATAGAATGGGGACTTTTTGATCAAGGCCATAAACTACCCTTCTGTTCAGGGTCTATATTTCTAACTTGTGCAGCATTTAACTTTGAATTTATTTATTTTTTTTAATTTAAAATTCATTTCAGTCTTACCCTCCCTCCTTCTTTTCTTTCTTCTTCCCTTCCTGTCCTTCCTTCCTTTTCCCCTCCCTCCCTCCCTCCCCCTCCCTTCCTCCCTTCTTCCCTCCCTCCCTCCCT